CACACACACACACACACACACACACACGCGCGCGCGCGCGCATACACACACACACACACACACACACTCACTCACCTTAAACAGCCCAGGCCTCAAAATAATTTTGTATTAGTAACCTATAGACCTACTTTTTTGTCGCCAATCACATTCTGAAAATCGAGAATTTCTTGTATTTTCAAAAATTAAGTTAACGTATTCATAGAAAAAGGCAAATGGTGGATGTGATCGGCGATATGAAATTCAAAATTGGGATAATGACTAAGATAAGGATGTTAGGCATCGTGATGAAATCAGGCACTCGTCAAAATAATGAAAACGAAGATACCGGAATTGTCCTACTGGTTTGGCAATTTTTATCAACTTTTTGTTTGTTTGTTTGCTGTTTTTGTTGGCTCAACGCCTTTTAGTCCATTAAAAAAACTCATTTCTCTGTGGATTTTACGGAAAAAAATGTTGATTAAAGGCACAAAAATTGTATTGCTAATTTTGAGTTTCAGAGGACTCTAAAGTCATGGAAGCCACAGAACTTTGGCGGCCATTTTCTCGCTAATTTCGCTTCTGAAAACAGACGACTCTCTCCTCCTTCAATGGAAAATATCTCGACTTCCGTGTAAGATAGATTAGTAATTTTTATCAAAAGATAGACAAATGAACAAGCTTTAAGATGATAGATCTACCAATAACTTCGTATGCTCGAAAATTGACGAGCGCCTGATTCCCCTGTGTCGTGGCACAAATGTTACAGGGACCATAGACGTTTGAAGTAGAGTTCAAGACTACACTCTGACGTCATTCCGGTTCACCAGAGAGCGCACCATTTGACTATTGGGAACCAAATGAAGGGTAAAGAGGGAAAGGTTGCGCGCTCACACAGTTATAGCAAGGCCTATGTTTGGCCCTTCATTTGCATGTTTGTGGTGGTGCGGATTAGCGCAGCGAACTGTTTATGAAGAGCAAAGAGCGGCGTCCATTACGGGGCCCGGTCTAGGATGTTATAATCAAAGTCTAACGACAGGGCTATCTTAATTATGCAATTCCGCTTTCAACAAATTTTGGCCACGATTTGAATGTCATTAACAATTTGTAATCTTGTCAGCGCCTTGTTTGTTTTACAAAGAAATGTTCGTGGCTTGTGTGATGTTGATAGTCAGTACACATTCAGGCAATCTGACACTCAAAGTGTATCTCATCAGTATTTCCTCTCCATTTAAGTTCTACCCTCAAAGATCAGTACCAGAACTAACCATTTTCATGAATTTCTCAAAAGTGTCGTTTGCCGACAATGAAATAACATATATTGTTGTTTTTTCATTTTTGTTCTGTGTTTATCAAAACCATCAACAGTACAATAAAGATTGATGCTACCACCATTAACGTTTTGACTGGATTCCCAAAAAGATTTCCAAAGTTTGACAGTTAGGATGTTGGAATCAATTTCAGTCTTCTGCTGAAAAGTTTTAAAAAGGTGTATTGTTCAGATCTGCGTTACGGTTTTATTTGGCCTGACAGATTCTCGGTGATGATTTTTTTGCACCCTCCCCCC